TTTAGGGTTTTAGGGTTTGGGGGTTCCTCGGCTCTTGGGTTTAGGGTTTTGGGGTTTTGGGGCATTGGCGCTTTAGGGGTTCCTGTGGCTTTTGGGTTCAGGGTTCAGACTTTAGGGTTCGGGCCTGTGGCTCTCCCAAAGCTGTAAGCCCTAAATCCCCAAAGCTGTGATACCCGACGTCGGGGAGCCCTAAGCCCAAATATGCCCCCAAAAAAAGCCCGAACGTCGTTATATCTTAACCCCTAAAGCCCTTAACAGGCCTCGGAGCAGCCCTTCAAGGATCCCTTCAAGGGTTCCACAAAAATGAACCCTTGACAGAGACCCTACTATAGAAGCCTGAAGACTTGTAATTGCTGCTCATCAGAGCTTTTAGTTATATTTGCAGTCTAACAACCCCTACACCCAAACCTTATTCTATGTATACGAAAATAAGGCCTCTATCTCATAGAACCCCCTTGTAACAACGCTTATAGAGCCCTTTCAGACCCCTATTTTGCGGAACAAGCCTTAAAGGAGCCCCTAGCCCTAAACCCTTTAAGGGACGCCTTAAAGGAGACCCTAAACCCTAAACCCTGCAAGGGAAGCCGTTAAAGGAGACCCTAAACCCTAAACCCCTTTCTTTAAGGGAAGCCATTTTGAAAGGGTACCTTCGTGAGCAGTACGTCAAGCTTCGAAAGTTGCGGACGGACATTGAGCGCATCGAGAAGAACTTGGACGACCAAGAGGAAGATCGCTCCTCTTCCTTTTCATCCGGCTCACCACTGCTTCCTCCTTCGGATAGCGACGGCGAGTGCGGCGAGGAGCGTGGCAAGGATGACAAGGGCGACACAGACGCGGAGCCGAAAGTTTCTACCCCACACCCCTAAGGCGCCCAGTCGTCTAAGGCGACCCCGCCCCCCCCAAGTCAGGCACTAGGGTGTCCGACTTGAGCCCCCCGCCCCCAAAGGCAGGCGGGTCCTTGGCCAAGCCACCCCCTGTGCCGGCCAAAGGGAGTGGCGTGAAGCACCCTCCGAAGGTCAAGGCTGGAGCCCAAACTGCAAAGGCAGCAGCTCGCCGAGACCCGGGGGCGCCCAACCACATGGGCCACCCGAATGCCGCAGGCGACCTCTACCCAGGTTTTCCAACGACCACCCAAAGCACTGCAAGGCGTGTGAACAACTCCGAAGAGGGTTCACCCACGCCACAAAGGGCCACCGGAAACCGGTGTGCGAGTGGGCACCCTTGCAGGCTAAGCGTCACTCCTGAGTACTTCGCTGAGCAACCAAAGCAATTGCCTGTGCTGTCCGTACTGAGCATACTCGTACAGTTGCGCTGACAGCAACGTCAGTTCACTGGGGTTTGCCGCTGTCAGGCTCGGCGTCGATGTGGCGGAGAAAGCAGGGAGCTCATCCATCTGTGTACGTTTGCTCAGTGCTGCTGCAGAGAGCTGAACGACTAATGCTCGTGCTGCTATTACACATGATAGAACTCAGACTTCAACAAAGAGTAAGCGTCAGGCAGAAAATACTCGGTACCGCACGTGAACAGATCCGTTTGTATCAGCGCGCAACGGCCCAACGGAAGCCGTTGGTTCGAGCAGGGCAGCCGTTTCCGCATCCTGAACACGTCTGGCCTAAACGATTGCCATACAACACAGGGTTGAACGATCTCCCCTTTGCTTTAGCTGTTCACCTCTGGGACCTCAACATGTCTCTAGTTGGAAATTGTGAGGAGCTCCACCCTTGCTTCTCGAGCGTCTGCTCTCTTTCATCTTTAGCAAGGTGATGGCAATAATCAGGATCATCTCCTCTTGTCAAGAAAGAAGGGAGGCCTCTAGTTGCTGACCGAGAGGTAAGCGGAGCCCTCTTCTTTCTCATGAAGTTAGAGGGGCCTGTTTGCTTTGTTGAGATGGCGCCTTCTTCTGTCCCATTACATGGGAGGAAGCTCTCAGTCTCGCGCGGTTCGATAGCACCAAATTTTCGGAAGCGGTTCCTCTCAGAAAAAAACGGTGCTATCGAACCGCGCCATGGAAAACACAGTGGTTCCATAGCACCAAATTTTCGGAAGCGGCTCCTTTTAGAAAATTGGTGCTGTCGAACCGCGCCTTGGAAAACACAGCGGTTCGATGACACCAATTTTTCGGAAGCGGTTCCTTTCCTCAGTGTGTTGCACGAGAGGGTGGAAAGGGATCCCAGACAGGGTTGACTTAACGATCTCCCTTCGCTTTAGCTGTTCACCTGTGAAACTCAGGTTATCAGCCGTAGGTAGCTCCCTGCAATGAAAATCGTACCGTTCAATGCAACAGCAGGTGACACTAGTGAACCTAGACAAGAGACAGTTGTGAATCAGTACTTTCTACAATTACTGCAAGAGAATCGTCCGGTCAATATTTTCCCGAATGATCCGCGTGTGCAACCAGCTCTGGAAGAACGAGCGGAACAAGGACACCGCATGTTTCTGGATCACTCTGCCTAGAAGCCTCAGCTCGGGTTCTTAAATGCTCACATGATGAGAGAGCATAACATTGGTAGCGGACACGAATTCCGAAAGTTCATGGAAGGACTGTGGGGAGATACAGAAAAACGTCAGCGATGCAAGTTGTCTAGAGAGACGTTGCACAGTCGAGAGCAGGGGACTGTTTTGACGTATCCGTGTCGTTTCCATTCGCGGCAGCATGTCTGCAGGAGCAAGTCATGCCACTGTCGTCTACGGAGAAGACCGAGGCGCAGTGTGTTGCAGATAGGATTAGAAGAGAGACACAGATAAGTGACATGCACCCGTTGCACCGCTGTGCCACGACACCTTTACTGCCATGTCAAACATAAGCGAAAGCTTCCGTCGTGATTTATGGCTCGAGACCCTTGAGCCTTCGAACTTTCGCAACTGCGTTGCAGCTTGTATGCAGGTTACAGCATGTCATGAAACTTGTTACCGGCGCTGTCATGCATGCCAGTGTGTTAACTGAACAAGTCGGGTGAGTAGCTGGTCATCCGTGCCAAGGTGCTATCCGACCGACTTCAATCTTCCGAATCCCAGCAGTCTCTAGGCGAGCGCAAGAAAAGCGAATGCAGTGAAAGGGAAAGGATGGGTTGGAATCAGAGCGGTGTTGAGTAAGGATCATGCCTCGTTTCTCCGAGTGCCCTTGGTTTGCGGACGAGGAATTGGAGTCGCTTGATCCTCTATAAATTACGGATCGTGACTCTGTGAAGGCACGAGAGGACGGAGAAGCCGTGCGCAAAAAACTCAGGTTTCTCGGAACTCCGGTGGGGCCGGAGGAAGAGTATCGCTTCTCCCCTCAAATTAGTGAGGAGGAGCACAGTTGTATACGAGAACACGTGAAGTCATGACCGATGAGGTCTCATCGATCAAGGTTGGCGTGTTGTCAGGCCTCGTGTAGGAACCTCATGTTTGTGATGTGCCTTTTCAAGTCAGCAGGTGGCAATGCATGTGTATTGAACGCGTGGTAGTCCGGTCGTCGCACAGGGTGCGCACGAAAATGCCGCCGACTGCCGTCAACGCTGGAGGACTGGTATGCACATTTGTATCATGCGCTGATGGGGTAATGTGGGCAGCAGTAGTAATGTGGCTTACAAATGAAAAGCTGGAGTTCTGCAACAGAGGACAGCCGTCAGCCAAGATACCGGCCGTATGCTGCTTGACTTTGCAACATGAGAGATATGGCACTGGTGTTACGACAAGCCTGCAGAATGGGCACAGCATATGCCCTCGTAGTGAGGGACAACTGAAGATATACTGCAGGGATGTTGGATGGTCGTGGCAAGTGGCACAAAACCAGGTTGGGACCTTGGGTGTGACAGAGATGTGTACAGTCTTGAAGGTATACCGAAAAGCGGAGAGCTGAGAAGCAGAAGCGAGAAAGAGGTTCTGTGTCCGAAGGGCTTCGTCGTCAGCACCGGCTGACCGTGTAGTCCCGGCTTTGCAGCTCGGCGTGATAGTAATGACTGTGATAGTTGCATGATGACGGAACTGTGCAGAGGCAGAAGGGCACGAACTTTGATCCGGACTGTGCAACCGCGATTTTTGCAAGCAGGCTGGTGACTTACAATCATGAGCTCTTCGTCCTCTAACATCCGCACGAGCAGTCTGCAGGTCCAAGGCCTCACGTCCGGCCGAGGACATTGCTGTTGAGCGGTCGTCACTGCCTTTGCAAAGATGCAAACAGTAGGCGAAGATTGGAGACGCAGTTGTGCTACACGCCGGAAGCAGATCTAAGTGCTGACCGAGGAACAAGGCCACTCGTCCGGCCGAGGACGTTGCTGCCGAACAGTCGTCACTGCCTTTGCAAAGATGCAAGCAGTAGGCGAACATTGGAAACGCGGTTGTGCATTGTGCTGCACGACGGAAGTAGATCCAGTTGCTGACTGAGGAACAAGGCCGCCGATCCGGCCGAGGACGTTGCTGCCGAGCAGTCGTGACTGTTTTTGCAAGTATGCAGGCAGTAGGCGAATATTAGAGACACAGTTGTGTTACATACCGGATGCAGATCCAACTGTTGACTAAGGAACAATGCCGCTGGTCCGGCCGAGGACGTTACTGCTGAACAGTCGTCACTGCCTTTGCAAAGATGCAAGCAGTATGTGAACATTGGAGACGCAGTTTGGCGTCGTGCTGCACGCCGGAAGCAGATCTAATTGCTGACTAAGGAACACGGCCGCTAATCCGGCCGAGGACATTGCGGCTGAGCAGTCGTGACTGTTTTGCAAGTATGCAGGCAGTAGGCGAAAATTAGAGACACAGTTGTGTTCCGGAAGGGAGACCTTAAACCCTAAACCCTTTAAGGGAAGCCATTACAGGAGACCGTAGTGCAAACCCGAAGGAGGCTGTTGGACCGAGCCCCCGAACACTGCGCGCCGCTTGGCCACGGCTCTGTAAGATGTTGTTGGTAGGAGTTTTGCAGCGGTATAAGGGTTCCTTTTAGGGTTCAAGAAAGGGATCTATAAGGGATTCTATAGGTTATCTGTCAGGGTACTATAAGGGTTCTATATGGGTTGTTCTCTAAATTAGGGTCCCTGTTTGGATCCTTGTAATAAGGGCGCTTTAATAAGGGATTCTAGAGGCTGTCTGTCAGGGTCCTATCCCTGAAACTTCAACCCTGCAAGCGTTCACGATGTTTGGGATCGACGGATTGGCAACGGTTTAGGGTTTAGGGTTTAGGGTTTTTTGGGTTCAGTTTTTGGGCTTGGGGGTTACGGGTTAGGGCCGGTTGGGGTCACGACAACTTCTCACCTGAGGCGCCGTACTTCTGCCACTGGCGAACCCTGGAACCTGAAGAATCATCCCCTGCGTCATCAAAGGAACTTCCGTATGTTTAACATTGAACCCGAAACCCGAAACCCTAAACCCGAAACCCTAAACCCTAAACCCTGAACCCTAAACCCGAAACCCTAAGCCCTATACCCTAAACTCTATCGGCTCCTCGTAGCGGACCCTGGTCTTCCTGGAATAGGATTCCGCACTAGTCAAAGGGTCATGGGACTTAGTAACTAGGGTTATCAGTAAGGTAACTACACTTATAACTACTAATAACCCCAATGAGGGCACCTACAACTGTACTTAGTAAGGTAACTACACTTACAACTTTTTATAACCCCAATTAAGGTACCTATAACTGTACTTATTAAGTCCCATGAACCTCCAAGTAGTTCAGAGGAAGACCCAGACCTTCGGGAGGATCCAAGAAGTAGATCCCTTAATGGGGGGTTCCTATAAAGAGCCCATGGTAGTACAAGGTTTAGGGTTTAGGGTTTAGGGTTTAGTCCCAAATTCGGGGTTCTACTTTCTAGATCCTTCCGGGGGTCTGGGGAGGGCTCTTGTCAGGGAGCTTGGATTCAGTTTCCATGAGAGGCGAGCATAGTAGATTGTACATTTTACTGTTGCAGTTTGAATGAAGATCCTGAAAAACCTTTATCTTACTCCCCAAACCCAAAAGCTTCACCCTTTGTGAAGCCCTTTTGAAACCGTAAGGCGGGTTTAGTGGCGGGCAGAGGTACGAACCCAGGCCTCAAGCGTGACGTAGGCCCGACATGGATCGTATCTCACCACTTTTAGGGTTTAGGGTTTAGTGTTTGGACTAGAAAGGTAAGGATCGCACCTAAGGTTTTTGTAGACTTCGATCCTTGAATGTT